CGCGTCTGCGCCAACCACATCGCACATGTCCTCGTTCTTGCCGGTGTCCTCTCAAAAGCTAGCGACCATCACGGATATTAGTGAAGCGATTAAGCAACAGTTGATCATCCTCGTTGAGTGGGCCAAGGCGCTGCCACCGTTTTACGAGCTGCCACTTGATGATCAGGTAAGAGAATATGATTCGCAGGCTGCTGTTGGTGTCTGAAGTGGTCGTTGCAGGTCGCCCTCCTTCGGTCATACGCGGCGGAACATTTGCTGTTAGGTGTCGCGAGACGCTCGCTTCCGTGGCGGGACATGCTGCTGCTAGGCAACGACGCCTGCATTCCTCGAGCACATTCGACGGACATTCATGACGTCAAGTAAACTGTACACAGTCGAACTCCGAGAATCCATACGTATAACCGTGGACGCGTGTTTCAGCCACGTCGTGTTTCGCATTCTGGACGAGATGGTAGAGCCGATGCGCGAACTGAATCCGGACGACACTGAATATGTGTGTCTAAAGGCAATACTATTTTTCAACCCAAGTACGGCATAAGCCATGTCGTTGGTAGGTGCAGAGATCGTAACGGTGCATTTACAGCTGCTCAAGGTCTGCTTAGCAGAATCAAGGTGAAGCAGGCCCGTTTCAGCTTTCTCGACGTGCTACAGACGTACATCACAGAGCAGCAACATCAAGATCGGTTGCGACTAGGCGGACTGCTGCTGCTGTTGCCTCCACTGCAAGCCATGTCACAACAGTTCATAGAAAATCTACAACTGGCGACGCTGTTCGGCATGTGCCAGTTCGACAAGCTGTTGGAAGAGTTGTTGCTAACCGTCATCGAACCGCGTAAGTAATCAACTCTGTTCACAGCACAGCGCTGACACCGATTCATGCTTTAGTACAGAAGTGCAACATACGTGTGTAATGACCAAATTTTGTAGTGTCTGCACCATTCCTAGTTGATGGCATAAGTGTTGTCGCGAAGAGAATGGCCGACGGTCTCTTGGGCAAGCTTCCATGCAACAAATATCTCAAACAAGAAGATCAACGCCAAGCTCCTAGAACAATCGAAAACTAACATGTTGGAGAAACGTTCTGTACAAGTTTCTTAATTTTGCTTTGTTTAATAAACGCCGAAGAAAACTGAATACCACCACATATGAAGAAAAACCTTTATAATGTTAGAAAAAAATATGCAACAGATTGATCACTGACTTCTATCTCCTAGACATACTAACAATCATTCACATTTTTGAAGTTTATACACAATTTTGTTCCTGCGTTCACTCAATGCGATTTTCATACAGTGATTGATACTTCCCTATTCCCAGGTTCTCTTTAACTTTTTCCGCGTGCAGCCACGAAGGCAAAGTTTCCTTCTCCTCTCGGAAGAAGATGTTCGGATATTTGGATTTCACTGGGCCATCTTTAAATGGGGACAAACGTGACAGGCGCTTTACGAGTATCTCTCTTTCAATGTCTTGCAGATCACGATACTTGTCCAAGTACCTATAACGTAACAAGTAATACAAGAACTTTACGTCTTGAATAGGAGGCATATTACAAATTGAACGGCTGCGGCTCTTTAGGTATGACTTCTTGAGGAGGCACAAAAGGAGCAGGCCATTCGTACTTGTACACCGGCTCTTGCATGTCTACAAAAAGAAACTTTCCTGTAGCTGACTCCAAGCGAAAATCTGCCATCTTACTTAGCTGGTCTTCAAAACACCGTTTGCATGAAATGTCCCATTCGCTTTGGAAAAAGCATAGTCCGGCAGGAGTAATGACGTCTTCGTACTTTTTGTAAAAGTCAGACGTCACGAATGTTCGATCACATAAGCCCCTATGAATAACTAACAAACTAATTAACTGCACTTTTAAAAACAAACAGAAAATCGAATAAAAATATCATTTAACGGTACCCATAAGTATCTGCGCATTTTCATTCACATTAGCGTGTGGCTTATATGAATAACCATCGGTATGATTAATCGAACGAAGGAATGAATGTACTGAAAAACAGACATGACAAAACACCGTCAAAACAGTACAGCGTTATCTTCGTAGTCGAACAACCGTTCCTAGTCAAACATATGTCCTTTATGTTTCTCAGCCAAGTAAATGAGTACCGCTGTGTGGGAGAACACAAGACATCACGTGTTGCAGGAGTCCCCAACTGCAAACATTCCCTTCTAGCAATACCGTACTGAGGATATGCGACTTATCATGAACTCCGTAAAAGAACGGTACCCAAACAGGATCCATAAATACAGCGTAAGAAAGAATGATACCACAGTAGTAACACTTTCCATTTCATCAGAAATACTTCACATAAACAATTAACCTTTCCACACTCGCCCTAGGTCATTTTCTGATGCCCCCAGGGTCCCCGACCGGTCAGTCTGGCAAACATTAGCCGTATCGCCTTCCTTTAAGAAGGTACGCGCAACGGGTGCTCAAACCATCTCAGCTGTAAACTCTCAATCTGGAGAAGCAGCGGTTGCACACCACGGTTCTCTTGGATATCTGTATTCACCCCGATGTCGAGACGTCAGCACCGCGATTCGTCTCAAAAAGGTTATTTCAATCGCTTGTACTCAGGATCAAAATTTTTCAGTCATGGCCCATAACTGATGATCGTAGGTGCGCATCGCGATGAAACTCGACTTCAACACAGACTCACCAATGAATCAGAAAACCTTTCTCGAAGACATTCCATATCATAAAATAAAACTATTTTTAAACAATACCACAGTAAACGATTCGTACAAATAAATTGTAAGGGAGAATTTCACGGCACTCTGTTATGTGGGAACTCCTTGAGAAGTATTCGAAACTGATGCACACACGTTCAGTAGTGTGTTCACTTCACAAATCAAAGTACAATGTCCAAAGTTATAGCTCCAATACAAAGGTGCTGTATCGTCGAGTGTAATCTTTGTATTATTCAAGATTTACCAAATGGTTATCTAACGAGACAGCGTAATCAAGGAGTCTACAGGCTTCATTCTTATTAATATCCGAAAAAGCACAATAAAGTCGTTCTACTGAGCTCAGTACATTCTGAGCCTAATAATCAATTTAAAAAAGTGTGTCAACGTTGGAACATCCATTTTCAGTATACCTCCATGATGAGTCCGGAAGCTGTAACAATAACTATCATACATCGGTAATTTTCCTTATTTTGAAACCAACAGCAGCCAAGACTGTTATATCTGGTTCTTGACTAGCAAGAAAACATTCATGACTAGGAGAATATTGCAGTGCATGGTCTCCGATATCCTTACTACATAACCGTACTGATTTATTCACGTAAGCTGCGGACCAGTGATAAAAACACGCTATGTTGCATCTCTTTGTGCCATCCTTGCTTCGAGATGACACTTTTCCTGATTAGATAGTTCGCCCCAGTGCTGAAAAACAGAAAAACACTAACTCGCCATGAGGAATGTCACTTCTAACGTTGGAACAAGTCGACAATGATCTTTAGGTTCTGAAGACATTATGTTCCTTCGGTCATACCTTCACTCAACTTTGCCATCGCCTGTGTAATTTTGATACAAGGAACTACGACCCATTTCGTTTAATAGTAGCACAAATCAGGCCTGAAACTATGACTTGTTGTGGGGACAGTCGACTGTAGGTTAGAATTGGCGCAACGCCAAACAAGTGGTTGAACAGAGCAGCAGCAAAAGCTAACCAAAACGAGCAACTAGATGATGAGTGGGAAAAGTACTCACTCTCTCGAAGAACCTTCTAGGTGATAGTCGATTTTCGCGTTTTGACGAAAAAGAACAAAAGCGATCCGATGACGTCCGGTGCCGCGTAGAGGTAAAGGTTGGAGGTACGGACGAATGACGTCACCATCTTGAACACGATTTTCAGGAATGTTGCATCTAACGATAAATGTATGCAACGCCTTGTCTCTGTCTTGTCCCAAAATACTCACAACATCCAATGCAGCAGCTCAGCGTTGTCCTTGTAAACGTTGCCGTCTGGGTTGGTCATTAAAAGAGTCCACAGTGATCCTTCGTCAGCGTCGTACTGTACCGATGGAGGGAGCTTCGCCTAAATTAGAACCACTAATCATAAGATACCGAACAAACAAAAGAACCATCGCGTACATCATTCGGTTCTATGACATTGCCGAAACAAACGGGCAA